GAATCCACTGATCTGGCTTGCTCTTCTCTCTCTTTATTTCTCTTTTTATTTCTAGCAACCACTTCAGCATGAATAGCATGTGTTATGAAATCAGGCAGCGTCGCAGTAGGCAATCCAACAAAATTTCTCTTTATCCATTCAGAGACTTCTGGTCTTAAATTAGCCAACATCCCTTGTTTAAACTGTTGATCCCAAATTACACGTTCCGCTGCATTATTGTCTCTCAACCCACTGTGTTTTCTAAAGGCTATTTCAAACCGCACTCTAAAATCTACTACTGTCTCATCCTCCATTTGTCTTACCTGAGCTAACTTCCCATAGTCAGGTAAAGTTTTGAACATTTCTCTGATTTGAGTATGTAGAGTATTTAATCTATCATTAATGAGTGGGTCTGCTGCAGGAAGAAGCACAGGTGGGTTTGCATTGTTATTTGGGTTATAGTGTTGTCTTACTCTTGTCCAAATCAACTCCCATTTTCGTCATGTAAATGTCCCTAATTTCAATTCCGTTAAGCCTATACATGTCCACCAGTTGTCTCATACCATCGCAAAATCCATCTGGGTCTTCTCTATGGCTTGGGACACTTTCTGTGGCTTTAATTATGTCTGCTTTCGTCCAAGTACGAAAGACATACATAGTAGGCAAACTTCCAACCACTTGTGGATCATGAGTGGGATTTGGGACTTCTATCATTGGGAATGCATCTGCTCCTCGCTCTGAGAAGTCAACCCTTGGACTGAAAAGGTTTCCAAATTGTTTGCTCCAAGACGCGTTCATTGGAAGCCGTGATCTAGTAGCAACAGGTGTTTTTACATCACAGACTTGTGACTGTGCTGCTGCTTCAAGCTCTGCATGTGGATACAAACTATCCTGCAGTTTTACAGAATTATCTGGGAATAGATTTGTTGTCTGTTGCAGTGGGGTATATTGAGGTGGTGCCGCTGTGTATTTATGAGCCTGTACTACAGCCTGCTGTTGCTGCTGCTGCTGCTGCTGCTGGTGCACATGGCGCTGCTGCTGCTGCTGCTGCTGCTGCTGGTGCACATGGTGCTGCTGCTGCTGCTGCTGCTGCTGCTGGTGCACATGGTGCTGCTGCTGCTGCTGCTGCACATGGCGCCTCCCTGATTGGACCAAATTGTCTTCTTCTGTTGTAAAGGCAACTAGGCTGGTTTCACTCTTCTTCTCTTTAATTTGCTTATTCCTACACTTTGCTGCAACTAACCACAGCTCCGCCATTTTCTGCTCATGCAATTGTTTTTCTGATGGCAACTTTTTGGATTTAAGTCCTAAACTAACTTTCATCACCAGTGTTTCACACTCTTTCAGTGTTAGTTTACCTTCAAACCCATACTTCTTCTTCCAGTTTTTTAAATACTTAACTGATTCAGGATTTTTTCTCTGCATAAACTTAGGATCTCCTTTCAGATCCACAGTTTTAGTACAAGATGAACCCATATTTACTCTTTAGTAAATTACTTAGATATCTTCTTCAACTTCTATTTAATAACTATTGCTTATACAACAGTGGATATTAATTACACATTTGTAAACGATCTTAGTGGAATGCCTCACGGGCCAAATCACTTCCTTGAGAAACAAGCTTCTAGATAAAACTTAATGTTTCATCCGGTTTCTCTCTGGGTGTTTAATCACAAGGAATGTAATTGTTTTAGACCACTTTCACGATTACTTAAAACATAATGAGATGCAATCCTTTCTCTACTTCACCAAGCCGACAACTTTTCGTTATCACCGCAAGGTTTCTGGTTGTCCGGTGCTTCGAGTATAGATTGACCTCCTTTCACACACACATTCACACAGACGTCTTTAAATCAAAATGAACCCCGTTCACTTTTAACTGCAGTAAAAAGTAGTCCCCGACTTACTCTGAATAATAACCCCGTTATTATTACAGTCTATGATAGTTACAGACTATCTAAAAGAATAACCTGTTGTTATTCCGGGCTCCCCCTCTGACTGTCTTTAATAGCTCTCTGACTATTAGAAGAATAAACCTCGTTATTCCAGGCCTAAGAAATAGCTCCTCGACTATTAAAAAGGATAAACCTCGTTATCCCCGGCCTCTTTTTTGAGTCAAAAGTAAATTGACTTCAAAAGTAAATTCACACTTGCCTGTTATCGCGATGTCCGTGGCTTTTGTGTCTTCAATCCGATGTTCGAAGCTGATCAAACCCCACAAAGAGACTGTTACTGCAGTTGTTTTTCGACCTGCAACCTCCAAGCCACGCTGCTGTTTCAGATCTCCAGTAGGACGACGGTCAGCTCCAAAAAATGATGTTTTGACATCCGGCTCAAAAAGGACCAAAATATGTTAACGCTGGTTCAGCCACGGTTTCTCCTTCGATGAAAAATGGACCACAAATTCTGCTTAGATATATGAAAAGGTTTAATATATAAAAAGACAGAATATAAGATACAGACAAGTGGCAGACTGCTTGATCAGTCTGGGCCCTGCTCCCTGGCACACCCAAAGCAAAAGACCCTGTTTCAAGACAGGCTATCGATGAAAAGCACACAGTCACATGACCTGATAATTGAAAACACATGTCTCACCATCCTTAGGTGAACACAATAGCTCCTTTCTCCAAAACACACAAATAGCCCCTGTGTAAGTAAGCCTGAGGCTATAACAGATGTTTTCTGCGCTCTTAATTTAACTTCCTGTGTATAATAGCTGGGGGTTTGACTCCGCACATTCTTCACCCTGCCTGGATCCTGGATCAATACTACTACTAGTTTTTAGATCCACACTAGACTAAACGTTACATTTATTAATATGATAATAACACAATAACATACTCCATTGACAATGTATAAGAAAAAAAAGACAGAACAAAACAAAGAAAATAAAGAAATTAGAATTAGAAAACTTATTCACGTTCAAAAGGAGTAGGCAGAAGCCAAGCTTATTTAATCCTACCCCTCTTCCCTATGTTAATTCAATATATACCTTGGCTTGAGTTGTAATTAATTTATGTATTTCCTTTAATCACAGATGAAGTCCCGCAGAGAGACCCCGATCCAGAACCGACAGAGCCCTCCTGTAGCAAATCCACCCGCACTCGTGCCTCTCCACGTCCACGCTTGCTCTCGGACACGGTTCTTCAGAATCAGGAGAAAATTGCTGAGTCCCTGGAGAAGATTGCGTCCACACTGGGAACCATATCTCAGACGCTCAAAGATTTGCATGAGCAGCTCAAAAATAAATGAAGGTGTGCACTGGAACTGGTCTGTCTTAATATTTGAAGTGAATCACAGTGGACTTATATTCAACATAATATTTACACTTTATTTACAAACGGGCAATTAAGTGCTCTCGAACATGAACGGCGTGCCTGCAGTTTGGTCCCAGCATTGCATCAGGGCGCACATCCTGACGGTGTAGTGGCTGAGGGGAAAGTGGCACACCACGCTTCATCGCGATGTTGTGCAGGACACAGCAGGCCATGATTATCCTACAGACCTGTAATGGTGAGGGAGAGCCATAAAATAAGCTGCAAGGAATTTAAATAAATGTAAACTAGGTGATTCTCGTAATAGGTAAATAAAATAATCAGTTGCCTGACCTTCTCTGGTTTATACAGCAATTTCCCACCTGCTGTGTCCAAACACATCCAGCGTCCCTTCATTATGCCGATGGTGCGTTCAATGATGGAGCGAGTGCGCGCATGCATGTCATTATACAACACCTCCTGAGGAGTCTGAGGGTTTGTCAGTGGTGTCATCAGCCAAGGGGCCAGGGCATAACCTCGATCGCCAAAAGGAAATGATGAGGATATTACACTTGTTGGAAATTGTAATTAAAATATGCTTACCAATAAGCCATGTGTCATCAACCGCTCCTTGATCAAGGTGTGTTCCCACGGAGCTGTTTTGAAATATATAGGAGTTGTTTGCTCCTCCTGGGAACCGGGAAACTACATTCAGGAGGTGGTTATTAGAGTCGCAGATGAGTTGTACATTTATGGAGTGGAACTGTTTGCGGTTGAGGTACGGGAAGGAGTCTGGAGAGGGTGCCTTGATGCGCACGTTTGTACAGTCTATTGCGCCAATTGTATTTGGGAGACCAGCAATCTGATGAAATCCCATTTTCACCGAGACTTGCTCCTCTGCCGAGTACGGGAATTTAATGTATTGTGGGGCCAGTTGAATGATTGCATCCACAACTCGAGGGAGAGCGCGGCTGATGGATGGCTGTGATATGCCCACCCTGTCCCCAAGCTCCCGTTGAAAGGTTCCAGTGGCCAAGAACCCGAGGGTCGATAGTACGTGCACGTGTGGGGGGACAGGGTTGGACCGATGTGTGTGGCTCCGAAGTGCTGGCTCTAAATCATGTCAAAGTTCGATGAGTACCGCTCGTGGGAGCCTAAAGCGTCCAAAGAGGTATTCATCGCTCTCTGTAAAAAGATCAACATGATCCTGAAAGATCCGTTCCCTCCGCAGGGCACGATCCGCAACCTCCTGCAGCAGCAGTAAATACGCCATTGTTCTGTGGCCCCTGGATGGACAAATTCCCCCTATAAATAGGGTGGGGTCACTAATTGACGGCATGATTTCCAATGTATTTTGAAAAGCGTTGGCACATTTAATTTGAAAATGAATATGAAAAATAATATGTAACCACAAAAATGAAATAATAGATTAAATACATACATCAATATGACGGACATATCACTGGAATGTTGTATTTTTATTAAACTTCACCAAAGAGGACAACCCCGGCGTGTGAACATGTCGGCACTGAATGCGTACGAGTGCTCCTGAGGACTCGTAGGATTTGTACTTGCCCAAGAGAAATTCTGGTTACGAGAAAAATTCGTGAATGCCCCTTTCTTCGTAAAAACCTCGTAAGTAGGATTTACGTACAAATCTGTTCCTAAGAACCGTTTGTGAATGAGGCCCATTGTGTACAATGATACTACACAACATGTCATATGTTACAGCTGGTGTCTTTGACCTGTTTTGTATTGGGTCGTTACCTGAGCAGGCAGGGCTGTGGACATAGATGCTGGGAAGCTGGGATTTCTGTGATTTCTTTGTAGACGTGGAGCCTGGGGATGACGGTTGGGCCTTTTGCTAAGTAGTAAATGGAATAATTATTGATTCACAGTTGCTAGTGTCAAACTTCGTGCTGCAGACAACCTGCTTCTGGAAGGGGAAAGGTCTGGATAAAGCAGAAACATAGTGCCCTTCCTTCTGCCGCCGCAGTGTTTTCCGCCATTTTTCTGAGAGGACCTGGTATCTCTGCAAACATGAAGCAATTATGCACAATTGTCTGCTCCCCTACCGTGGAAATCATGGTACACAGTGCTCTGTAACAATTACTTAGTCCAGTGGTTCCCAACCTGGGGTGGGCCTCACCGGGGGGAGGCCGGGTCATAGGGTCAAGTCATAAAAGATATTACTTGAGCAAATTATAAGCTTAAAAATAATCAAATATGACTGAGAAGAGAGTACAGGTGCATGGCACACTCCAATGTAAGTGTATTTGTTTGACATAAATACTTAGTAATTTTCATGTTTTGATACATTTGTGAGAGCCACAGTTTTGGATGGGGGGGTAGTGCATGCACAGGGGGAACAGGCTGGAAACCACTGACGTTAGGCTACTCCAATGCAGGAGGCCTAATACATTAGTACTTGGAAGCAGCTTTAACCCACACATACATATGCTACAAACCTATATTATAATATTGTACACCATTGACTACAGCCAATATTATACCTTCATATTGAAGACTCTTGCAGTATCTCTGTACTCTCGTAACAGAGATTTATAAAGGGCCTGATACTGCAGGACCACATCATCTAGCCGGCTATAGGTGCGCGACTGGAACCTCAGATGTTTCAGGTCCCACTGACTCTTCTCCATGATCCCCTGTGTGTGGTTGGCCATGGCATCCAAATACACTATGTCCTCCTTGCACCTTTCCTGGTATATTTGGATGCCACGGAGAGACCAGAGCATTACTCCTTTTGGCCTCAGAAGCATGTTTTTGAGCACACTGGTGTCATTTGTTGGCAGCTTGAGCATCCGCTCCAGACTCTGTATTTCATTATGATGGAGTCTCCTCCTCTTCCTCACATCATAGGAAACATTCTTCAGGACACTGACAGGTGGAGCCAGGTCCCTGCAGCCAGATTCAAAAACGGCTTCTGAGAGTGCCCCTACATCTCTCACATGCATGGTCACCGCTTTTACGGTCACCGGCATAATGTCGTGCTGGTCCATTATCCAGGACCAACTTCGCAGATAATGTGTTCAGGGATTCCAAAGTCACCTTTGCCTCAACCTTGCAGTCCTCAAATCTGCAGTAGGCAAGGCAGCTGAAAAGTGGCCCCTTCCGTGAGGAGTTTGGTTTTTTTAAGTGGTGTCATTTGAATTCAAAGGAACGATAGGGGAACACAGTACGAATTCCTTTGGAAATGACAATGGTCCACTCCAAACCTTGGAACCCTGTACTGTGTCTTGGCCCAATACAGAAGCAAACAGTTATGGTTACATGTCAGAAGGAAAATCAAATGCATGGCTCATTCTACAGAATGCAACATGTGTACCATGAATGAGGCAAATAGTTGCTTTAATCTGTAGCAATGTTCTGGCATATTGGATCCATGCTCTTAGTGCTACAAAATACCCTGGCCTGAATGATGATCTGGACCTCTCTTGTTTTTTATAATAATTTTGTTTGTCTATGTTTTTTCTTGTTGCCACTATACTGTGAAGACGAAATGTCTCCCCCTTGTGTCCAAAAGGACTATGACAGCATGTGTCTCAATGTCCTGGCTGCACACCTGCAGTCAGACATTATAAATTGGTTTACTGTTTGTCTCTACACACACCCTGACGAAGGCGCAAGCCGACACGCGTTGGTGTGCTTTTTAATGTTTCTGGCCCATAAATAAAGCCATCTACTTTTGCAAATGATGAGTGCCTGGACCTGATTTTTCTCTGCACTCTCAATGTTCTGGTTTATTTGGAATTCCCAGTTTGCAGGCCAAGACACCCCAAAACCCATCTTCTTGGAGATTTTGTTGTAAAAAGGGATTCTCCAGAAGGCATTTTATTTGAGCCTGTATCTCCTCGTCTTCAAGCTGTAACATTCTGTTCTGTAACATTAACAAATTGTTGAGATGTACATTCCTGCAGGGTTGATGTGAACACCAACTTTTATCGAATAGAGAAGGGTTACTCACCCCAGGCAACTGGAAGTGATGAACTCTATCATGAGACAAAAAAGGGACACAATCAATGCTTATGCATATTGAGTGGTTCTCATATCTATGTTATCAAAGCTCTATCATAGTCTAGGCTAACTCCAAGCCTATATCTATCTGTAAGCCAATATCTCTATCTGAGCCCCATATCTATTTCCAAGCCCACATCTACATCCAAGTCCATATCTATGGGCGTGAATTTGGCTCAATGACGATATGTCACTTTGGCACACATTTTTCATTAATCTCTTAACACGATGATGCAGACTTTTAAACTATATATAAGCAAACATGTTTTTTTTATATACTTTAAATGTTGAATTGGCATGTGTTGGTCCCCTAAAGCATGTGTAAGACTTTGCTTTTGAATTCAAGATTACTTTTGTGAATTTGATCACATTCTGAGACGGAAAGGTCAATGATGTGAGAATGCAATGACAATACTCTCAAGGAGCAATGTGTGAGAAACGCCTTAAATTACACTGCTATCTGCCATGTGTGGTATAGCTCAGTAATGAAGCCGAAAGGCTATCACATGAGACTGGGGTTCATTTCTTGGTTTCTTCCTGAACTAATTCGGTTTATTTGAAGACTATGTATTTAGTATGAAAGTTAAAACTTTTGCACTACAACAACAGCACAACTACAGCAAAACCAGTTCCGTGTCCACAAATGATTTGAGGTAGCCTGGGGGTGGCACTCATTTTTTTCTGGGGTGGCACCAGGACCGGAGGGGGCCAATATTTCCCATTACTTAGAACTCTTATGGTTTTGAAGGAGCACAACATAAAATGAGGACCACCAAATTCAAAAATTAAGCTGCAGAGTATAGACCACGGGGTCTATACTCTGCAGAGAGCGAGGGTCTGCGGAGTTAGAAACACTCATGGTTCGCATGTCTCGTCACCAGCACCAGGATTTTTGCAGGACTTTGCAAATAGGTGTTTTTTTCCCCTCTCTTATAATTGCCTAAAAGCTGACGCGCTCCCGGGATGGCACAGGCCCGGGGAACTATATTGTGAGAGTGGACTTTGAGTGTAGCCTGTAAGGCTACTGCATGTGTCATTTCTGATGAATGAATATGCACAGGGAACTGTGCTATGTATCTGGATTGACTTTATGATCAGTTAAATCTATTTTGCACACATACAGAAATGAGCTTGAAATGAACAGGACTGGCGAGTCTTAACCCCGCGCGCTCTCTCTCTTTCTCTCTGTGCAGAGTGCTGCAGGAGATTGACAGAAGTCGAGCACAGACGCACATGCCGTGGAAAAAGCGTTCTCTGGACCACAGCAGCAAAACGCTGCTTATTTTACGTCTAAAAACACGCTGTAAAGATGATAGACTGAATCGTGGCTGAACTATGAATGCACGCATGGCGGCAATGAGTGGTGGCAACCGCCCCAACCCGTCCCCCGATTAAAGGAGACTTTTATGACCGGACCCGATCCGCGGGCAGCCTGCGGGGACCACGGGGGATCCCGTAACCCGGGCAACCCGTGCGTTAATGCCCCCAGCCATGTGTGACACCCTGCACGTTTGACAACAGTTTATAACAGTTTGACAAACAGGATGAGGAACCTTTACGCACGGTTCTGATTGGGTTCTGAGAAGTGCCAGCCGTGCGCATACATGTGCATGCTGTAACATTTCCAGCTCTGGCCCTCAAAAAAGACAGACACCGGTCGCCCCGGTCACACTACATGGGTTAGTTTGATCATCAAGAGTTTTCCAAAACGGCCCAACTCCCTGAGCAACACGTGCTCTGGAGGGGTCGCCCCCTCCTTCAGTCGTCTATGCACAGGCCATTTGAAGTCTCTCATCTCCTGTCATTCTCACTGCTCCTCAATGAATGTAATCCAAACTATACAGAGGAACACATAACATAGACCTATGCGTCTCATATATAAATATCTGCCTCGGAGTAGGCTATAGGCTGGATCATTATGCATTGAATTGGGCTGTGCGCGCTTATATTCAGCCCAAAACACACAGGCACGGACGCCCTGCACACAGCGGCATCAACTTCACCCTCCGCTCCACACACACTGAGCTACTACTAGACAGTTAGAACACATCTTAAAACACTGGATTTCAAGATTAACAGCTTAAAATGTATGTGCTTTTTATACAATAAAGTGATTGAGTAACTATCCCCCCTTCTGTTTTTTTGACAAATCGCACCCTGCCTATAAGTGAGGTAATATCCCCTCCTGAACCAACTAAAATCCAAACTGTGCCACCACTGACTAATGCCACCACCACAACAAAATAGTCAGCAAGATTTTTTGCTTAGCAATAGTAATGTTCATTTTGCCAACTTGCACAAATTGCATTATTAATTTAATGTTGTATTCTATACAAAAACTATAACCTTAATCCAAAGTCAAAACAAAACTTCATGTCAAGGAGATACTGGGAATTGCACGTGCTGTTGTATTGTCACTGTCACGTTTAAGCAGCATGGTCAGGCTTTGATACTGGCGCTACGCAGTGAACATCGCTATTCACTCTATCTCTCAGGACAGCGTTTCATTTACAGGATAAATAAGCAGTTTGGTTCCTGTTACTGCGTAAAAAGTAGCTTTTGTAAATGCAGAGCGTTGTTTATGAACAACAATCATATTCAAAATTGTATAACAAATATGTCAATCGTTTGTGCTGTTATCGTTTTTTGCATGCAGTGTGTTGTCGTGAACTCCCGACACGTGTGCGCGCTTCAGATGAGGACGAGCATGGACGCCTCAAGGCTCTAAAGTTTGTAATTTAAATTTAGTTTGTAGTTTAAAAACCGAACCAGCACAAACGAAAATCTTTACAGCACAAAACAGCACAGATGTAGAAGAAGCGGTTGACACATTTTAACCAGTTTTGGGGCTTTATAACGAGCAGGGTGACCTTACATCTGACCAATAAAACATATTATTAATATTTCTAAAACGATAACAGTACAAACACATTTTTTACAGCACAAACGATTGACATATTTTTGTTAATAACATTTGGAGTATGATGGGGGGCCAGGTTCACGTTAATTGCCCAGGTGCGCTACTGCTGCGTGCACGTAGCCGCGTACCTCACACACATGGCGCTGCTGCTGAAAGCACTGTGCAGATGCTCCTAACCGAGCCTTAAATAAATAATTTACGTTGGTTTTTCGGGCTCGGGTGACAATTCAAGTTAATAGCTCAGGCTCGGGCCGGGTCGGGCTTTAGGCCCGCAAGCTTGGGTTGGGTCGGGCTTGATTTTTTGGGCCCGAGCTAACCTCTACTTCACACTAATATTTTCTACCCATACAATGTATTCTTGAATAAAATAAAATTATTGCATTCAACATACTATACTATTTTTAGGTTCAGAAAAAAACATTACCTGGATATTGCTTGCAACTCATAACTCACAAACTACACAACACATCTACTAGGTTACTTGAAAAATCACACACTCACAATATTAGCTATATGCAATGATAGCTAGCATGCTCTCTGTATTTATCATTATTTATTTGTTTTATTTATTTGTGTCAAATAGTACAGTAAAATGAGTAGAATGTTCACCATGTTCGTGCCATTTACTTACCCTCGCATACTGTATGCCTTCCTTTTCGTCATCTTCCTGACTTTAGTTCTTTTCTAGTAGAAAAATGCTGTTTCACATGCATGCACATATAATGACCTCCCAGTAGCACACCACCAGCTGTACTGATTAATGATCAGAGGACTGCCTCAAAAATTGCCTACACTCACCTAAAGGATTATTAGGAACACCTGTTCAATTTCACATTAATGCAATTATCTAAACAACAAATCACATGGCAGTTGCTTCAATGCATTTAGGGGTCTGGTCCTGGTCAAGACAATCTCCTGAACTCCAAACTGAATGTCAGAATGGGAAAGAAAGGTGATGTAAGCAATTTTGAGCGTGGCATGGTTGTTGGTGCCAGACGGGCTGGTCTGAGTATTTCACAATCTGCTCAGTTACTGGGATTTTCACGCACAACCATTTCTAGGGTT